TGTTTCGCAGCTCGCCGTCTCGACGGAACGGTACCTTCATTGAGAGGTGAGTCCAAAGAATTCACATGATCCAGGTCATCATCTCCTGAAATCTTGTAGGCGCGCAGCCTTTCCTTGAGTCGTAAATTTTCGGCGCGCAGTTTACGAAGCTCATAACTCTGTTGGATTGGGGCGTAGTTGCCATCTTCAGCGATGAAGTGGCATTCGCGTGGAGAGCCACGAGCGCAACATGCCGAGCATGGTTTTGTACGATCACACTATGCTACGTCAGCTCAGTGTACAGTCAAAGTGCATCACGAGGATACTGTCCGCATCTCACATATCGCAATCTGTAATGCGGATCGATGGGTATGACTGACCTTGACCTTTCGCTCTCTGCATTTTGTACATGAGAGCAGTTGGCGCGGCTGTTGAGCCTGATGCTTCTTCCGGTTCGTCTCGGCCAAGGTCGAGGCCTCGTCTTGCGCGATATGTACATGCGCGCCTGCACTTTCAGCCATGGTAGAATAGGATTATTCTGCTAGGTTGAGTCGCGCCGTAATAAATACTGGCCGAGAAGCTATACAAGGACAATCGGCTATTGCTTAAGTAAAGTAAGTGATCCCATAGATATACACTGAAGATTTGGTAGGCTGTTAGACCTCGGATAATGAAGGAGGCTTTGGGGTAACATTATGTAGGGACAGAAGGACAGACATCGTTTCAGGCCAACTGCCGTGATAAGTAAACGAGAACCTGGAGCCTCATTCTTGAATTGGATGTCCGCGAGTCATTGGAAGAAAGACGAACGCTAATGATAGATATGCTGGGCTTTCACCGAAGTTTGAACTACCGGATTGGTGGTGTTGCATTGCGCTGACGCTAGTCCTCATCAAACGTTGAGGCGCTGTTGTACAAAAGATATCGCCAAGCGGGTTGAAGGGACCGTCGGGGCATTACAGGAAGCTTGACACGGCACACAGATCTGACGCACCTTTTGACGGCCCGAGCCTCTGGGTCTCCTCAAGCGCACGCGCATGCACGACGAACCGGGTTGCTTGCCGTGTTGCTTCCTCATCTCCATAACCGAGCGGAGAACACGATCTTGACACCACAGATCTACACGAATGCTGGTTGTTCGTAGCGAATGCATTAGTGGCTTAGAATGGCTTGCAGATGCGCGTGCTAGGACGCCTCTGTCGCTCTGGCCTCCATTGGCCAATTTCGATTGCTTCGGACGTGATTGCTGCGCGCTATCATGATTGTTTCGCAGCACACCATGGTTTTGAATGTGAGGCTGGCAATTTGGATTCGGGTGCGTGATTGAGAGCGATCTGCACTGACGGAGCGCCCGTCCCGCGCTGTAGTACAAAAACGCCTCCTCGCGCCACCGCGGGACGCCAAGCTATTCGCCTGTCAGACATAGAGTCTGTTCGGAAAGAAAGATGGTGCTTGTTGATGGAATCTCAGTCTCTGCACGATGAACTTACACCATGTATTTGACTATATGCTTGCTCAAAGCGCATCGGTGACTCGATCAAGGAGGCGAATCGGCTTAACATAGATCAACCTTGTGAAAAGGTCGACCCTGTCTAGCGCTACTTCCCACTCGTCACCTTCTTTATAGTCACCGCTTAGAACAGCTTGGAGACCATACTCAGGTATATCTCCAAGGGCGTAACGCCCTGGGCGAACGCGACGAGCCCAGAACTTGAAGGAATCGGGAAGGGTAGCCTCTTTGTGTTTGAGGGCACGGTGAATTGCCTGGGCGACCCAGAATCGCGTTGAGTGACGCTTGGCTAGGGTAATGATCCGTTCCCGAGGTGAAAGCGTTACAATGGATTCCTGCATTTGTCGTTGCGAGAACGGCAGAGCTTTGAACATGGAAGCCTGGGTCCCATCAAACTTCCTGCCGGATTGTGCCTCCCATCGCACAGCGGCTTCGATTTGCCAATGCGCAATCATATCAGAAAATCGACGAAGAGGGCTAGTGACCTTGATGTAGCCAGGGACTCCTATGATTTTATGTGGCAAGGGTGAAGAATGCGCAACAGCCATGCCGAGTGCTTTGGACCATCGCGCAGTGAGATCGGGTCGTACTTTTCCGTGCTCTTCGTAGTGGTCCTGAACAAGCTTCTGTAGCTCTTTTGGGTCCAGATCTCCACTAGGTGGTTCAATGGTGCCTCTGTACATGACGGGGATATGCCTCTCCGTGCACCAAGCTGCCGCAGTTTGACCGGCAAGCATCATCATTTCTTCAACAATGTTCTTGGGCCCTATTGTGAGCTGCATAAAGCCTTCTGATATCGAGTTCGTCACCTCGATGATTGGGTCTCCTTGTACAAAACGTGCTCTGTCCAGAGAGGGAGCGTTCCAACTTAGACCTCCCTGAGTGGCGCTCTCGAAGACACGGGCGTTGACGTTTGAAGAGCCAAATCGAACGCCACCAGCAGCCTTGCGAGCAGCCCATAGAGCTTGAGCAGCAGTATAAAGATCACGGAGTTCTTCGAGTTGACTTGGAGAAACACTCGGCGGCGGTCGTTCCAATCCACGCGGCACCTCTCCGCCAACAACAATCCTTCGGGTGTTTGTAGTGCTCTGATCACCCAGGAGAGTAGCCAACTCGGATGGTGTGATACTGACGATATTCTGAATGGAGCCATGCTGTATCTTTGTTTCTAGCTTGTTGCCTGCTCCGTCGATGCGAGTACTAAAGGTGATGACAGGGCGGCCACGATCAAGACTGAAGTGGCCTTGACTAGCCCAAGTCGGAAGCATTGGGAAAGATCGCTCCGGTGTATAAACGGACTCAGTCATGTGCGCGGCGAGGCCAGACAGCGTGTGTGTTTTATCGAAGAATGCTGTTGGATTTGCGACGTGTACGTGGATCCAGAACTCAGAGCTTGCGTCTTTGACTCGTTCAATCGATATGCCATCATCGATCTCCTGAGCGCCGACATCGTCAATGCAATACACGGTGGTCGAGCCCCAGTCACGACGTAGGCTTGCCATTGAATCCCGAAAGTCGGGATTTCTTCTTGTTAGCTCCGCTTTAGTGTTGAGTAACTCCAAATTACGAGACAGACGGACGGTGGGCAGCATGAGCTGCTCGTCATAAATCGCTCGATTGTCGTGCGGTGAAACGACGCCGATTTCTTGTAAGAACAATAACCCAGTAGCACGTTTGATGTTGCTGAGGGTGTCATCAGAAGCTCCGGTATCGCCAAAGACGTCCGAACCATAGAAACCTGACGCTGAGATCAAGCTCGCACAAGCAGCATGGAGGCCAGCCATACCCGTGAACTGGCCAGTCAGTACCCATGCTTGTAGGAAGTTGATGATCTGCTTGTCAGCGCTTGTGAACGGCTCTCCCCAAGTGATGTGCAAATTAGAGGAACCGTTCTGTGTCGCCGAAGTCTTACTGGGCCCAAGGCCGCCGTAGGTTGGCTCACGTAATTTTCGACTCGCTGTAATGAGCCTGCCGGCCTTGGCCAGGAAATCTATGATATGAGTAGCGCCGTCGGTACGCTGGCGCCTGGCTTCCGAAGGGCTATTAACGGAAAGAGCAAGGTATTCTCTGTATTCTCGGATCCACTCGTGAACTGTTTCCACGACCTCAACATCGGTTTTGGGTCGGATAGCGAACATGTTTGTCAGACGGTGATTACGGCCATCGGAGCGGAAGCGAAATTCGTTGTGGTTCAGAGCCTTTCGCACTGCTAGAAGCGCTGCTGGCGTTGGTACCCAATCGGGGGACCCTCGCGCGAGCAGGAACTTGGCAATCTGTGTCAGTGTCATCATACGTGTCCTCGTCTTGTCTGCGAGGATATCATAGGCTGTGTCTAGGACTGGAGCATTCTTCCGGTAGATCTTCTCGGCTTCTTCAGTCATATTTTCAAGACTCGCTATCACAGGGGCAGCAAAGTCTCGTGGGACATGAACCTCGCCCTTGGGATTGGCCGCGCCGGGATCCGTGGGTAGAAATGGAATGAGCGGCTGGAGAAGTGCTGGGTCGATGCAACCTTGGATGGCAAAGGAAACCCGACTTATGATCGAATGCGTCCATCTGCCGTTGACGGAGAAGAACTGACTGTCGTTGTTCAATTGCTGCACGAACACAGCAAGCACAGGTTCGCGACCCGGTTGTGAAAGCTCCACCACGTCGCCAGGCTTCAAGAACAGCCCAATAGTGATCACTTCTTCGCCCTCGTCTTCCTCTGCAGCATCCCACTCGTTCTCTCTGGCGTCTTCGTCGGCCTTGAACGCAGACGACAACTTCGACAGGCCATTTTGTATGTCTTCACGTTCGGGATGATTCTCAAACGCCGAAAGTACTTCCTCCGTCGGTCCACCAAACTGCCGTTGCCACTGCTCGAGGTATTCGCGGATCGCAACGCCCTCGGGTCGAGGAAGAAGAGACGGTTCCGGAGGCGGTGTGGGAGTGACGGTATCTGAGGATAGTTGCGAGCGCTGACATGTGTCAGTTTTTGAACGACGTCCTTGGCGAATCACTTACACTGCCGGCGACATGAAGCGCCCGCCGTGGTGTTTGCGAAACTTTCAAAGTAGAAAGCCCGCGTGAAAGTTGCATTCGTCGAGAGGCATTTCGCTGGCTCAGCAATCGCCATTGACACCGCAAGCATACATGGCCCGCAGCCTGCTGAAATCGAGGATACATTTTGAGGCGAATGGTGGATGATGTCGTCAATACAAAAAGTGCGGCGGAGGCAAGGCGCGCTCGGATAGTGGTCTGTGCAGATACGCTAATGGCCGCGCGAACTCACATGTTCCTCCGCACACCTCCGTCCTTCTTTCTTACACCTCACCGCGCCCAAGGTATGTACATCGTCTCCTTCCACTCAATCCCCTTTCATGATGTATTCAAAATTATAGCATGTATTATCCGACCGTCGCTTCGGCGTCAGACTGCGGAGCAAATTTTTTCCTGATTGAATTTTCAATGTTCCCACTTAGGACTTCACGATGTCGCGACACAATTCTAACATGTCTTAACAGGCATCATGGCACCCGCCAAAGCGCCTGCGGGCCACTTCTCGATCCTGTACTTTGCAGCAGCCTCCACCTTCACTGGCAAGACGAGCGAACATCTGCCTGCACCCGTCCGAGCTCGCGATGTCTTTGCTATGCTGGAGGAGCGGTACCCGGATATTCGTGACAAGGTGCTGAGCAGCTGCGCGATGACGATCAACATGGAGTATGTCGACGTTGGCGAAGATGATGCCGAGGACGCGAACAAGCAGATCGTGGAAGGTGATGAGGTTGCTATTATCCCACCCGTCAGTTCAGGATGAGCTCAACGGGATGGTTTAATGTTATTGATGATGTTACGAACTTTATCTCTTTAATGAACTCACTACAATATTGACGAACTTTGTGTTGTATGCGATTACATGTGATGTGACAAAAGACTTGTGCTAGAGCCTCGACCTAAGTATTGCTCTAATTCCCAGTGACGCCTCATTCGAGAGGAGAATTAAATCCCTGCTTTCTGTAGAATTGCAGGAAATACTTGCTCAGAAGTCTGCATTACATTCGACTATTGCAAACTCCTATCTTTATGCTAATGTAGACGGCAGTGCATGTGTTTAGCTCTGATGTGTGAGCTATGAGTCCTGTTTGGCTTGGCGCACGCACTGACGCCTGAAGGCCGAGGGTTCTGACAACTTTACCCACAGGCGGAAGTTCGGTCACTATACTACCGACGCCGACAGTCATTGAACCTAAGCCTCAAGATTCAAGTTGCTCTTCTTGATGTCAGAGAATTTGGACCCTCGTCTCTTTTCGAGCGCCTCAGTGCCACCTTCACGGCCGCAGGTATACGCGTCTGCACCGCAACAGCAGCAGCAAAACACCGGCCACCCATACTACCTGCCATCTCCAACCGCTCAAAACCATCCCCAGCTATCGCAGCCCGCCCCACTAGGGAACATTCTTGATCCCGCCCTTGCGCAGACATCGCCGGCTGCACCAGAGCACGATGACGACGACCACGACGACCACGACGACGCGCATGAACACGACACGCCTGGTTCTGGCAAATCTCCCGCCGACCTCAAGCGCCCACGAGCATGCGATTCATGTCGAGGATTAAAAGTCCGCTGCGACCAAGAGCGACCTGATGTATCATGCAGACGATGCGCAAAAGCAGGCCGACCTTGCATCACAACACCGCCGACACGGAAGCGCCAGAAGAAGGCCGACAGTAGAGTCGCTGAGCTCGAACGCAAGATCGATGCATTGACAGCTACACTACACGCGCAGAAGTCGGGAGTACCGGAATTGAGGCACCATGGAGGCATACCACAACCCGACGCCAACGCCAACACGATGCCCCTGCCGGTTGAGGGTCAATATCGCATGGGAACAGTCGAACACGACTGGGCGCAGCCGCCGACGGCCAGATACCCAGACATACCAGCCGGCTATGGTCCGGCACAGAGCTTGCAGAGAGGGCCCGAGCCAAAGCGTAGGAAGCTGGACAATGCGCACGCTGTAAGTCGAATCAATGCTATGTGAAGCCAAACTAACATTTCAGACGATTCCCGAGGACATGGATGCTATTCATCGCGATCTAGCAGAGCACCCCGAAATGCGACGAACAAGCAAGAACAAGATCCACGCCGACCATTCGCACATCAACACCCTGATCGACAACCTCATGACACCGGACATTGCAGAGCGGGTTTTCCTCCGCTACGTGAACGAGATTTGTCCACATTTCCCAGCGGTACCTTTCCCTCCTGGTACGACAGCGCGTGAAGTCCGAGAAAAGAAGCCGCTTCTTTTTCTCGCTGTTCTCGCAGGATCTTCGCATGGAAGTGCAGAACAACTGGTCTCGCAAGAAGCGCAACGCGAGTTGACCAAGCTCCTCAAAGATCAGCTTGCCGATATCATTTGGCGCAACGGAGAAAAGTCGCTCGAAATCGTTCAGGCATTACACATCTCTGTGCTTTGGTATCGGCCGCCTCTCCATTTTGAGCAGCACAACTTCTACATGATGGTCAATTGCGCTGCCGTAATGGCTCTTGACCTAGGTCTCGGACGGAAAGCAACTCCAAATGTCATGAAACTTTCCGTCGGTCCGTTCAAAAGGTACCATCCCAACTCTAGCAGTGTCGAAGCCCGTCGGACATTCCTTGTGTGTTACTATCTCTGCATGAGTATCACAATGGTTCTGCGACGACCAATCCTGCTCCGCTGGACCAATTACATGGCGGAGAGTGTTCGCATACTTGAGACCTCGCCCGAGGCATTGCCTTCAGACAGACTGCTTTGCCAGCAGGTCAAGATGGCCCATATAGGAGAAAAGATCTCAGTGGAGTTCTGCATGGATGACCCTTCAGTCGAGGTCACCATTTCCGATCCAAAAGTCATCTACGCTCTGAAGATTTTTGAGAACGAGCTCAGCTCACTCAGGGAGGAGAACTCCACCTTGGGTGAAATCGATCGTACGTTGTAGCGGTTATGATTCATTGCATCTACTGACAGTCGCAGCAACCCTTCGCTTGGCAGAACACGTCACAAACCTATACCTGCATGAAATTGCACTGCACCAAAACCAAGGCTCTGCCGATCTACAGCCCCCTTTCGTTTCAGATGCGCTGTCGCCCTCTCTACCATCTGGAGTCAAGAAAGATGTACCTGCCGGCCCAGCACACATAGGTGCTCTAGGTGATTGTCTGACTGCTACACATGGTATCCTAGACACCATCCTAAGTATCGAACTTGACATCCTGCTGACTCTGCCTGTCATTTTCTGTAAGATGCCCTGTTCTCATTGTAACATACTCGCTGACATCATCTAGGTGTGCGAGCCATTTACGCGATCGTCTGCTTAATGAAGATGTGGGTATCAGTCACTAGCTCTGGCGAAGTGGGTAGTATCATCTGCCAAGAAGATCTCAAGATCGAGGCCTATACCGAACAGCTAGTCTCCATGTTCAATGCCATTGTCTCCCGCGATGCGCAATCGCCCCATGGAAAGTTCTACTTCGTTGCAAAGCGCCTCCAAGAGCGGTTCGCTCACATCAAGGAAGGTGCCGCTGGCGAGCAACAAACGGATCCCGAATACGATTCTACTCGAAACAACAGTCAAACTTCACGACCCTCCACGCGCCAATCACCCGCAAACCAAACCCCGCTTCACCTTCTCTCGGAAGTCGCAATGGGTAGCAGCAACAATGTCGCTTCTCAGCAGCAGCAGCAGCAGCAGCAGCAGACGCAAGCGCAGGCACAGGCGCAATCTCGTTCTCAACAACAAGCTCAGGCCGCTCTACAGGCCCACGCGCAGCATTCTCAGCAAGCCATGCCAAACTGGTATCCTAACATGAATGCACAGCCTACTCCAGATATGATGGGTCTTGGCGCACAACAACCATTCGATATCAACTTCGATTTCACCCAATTCGATTTAGGCACAGGTTCGGACGCAGATCTGTCAGCACTGTTCATCCCGGACTCAATGGCAATGTGGGGTTACCCTGCCGATCCCAACATGCAGGGTGGTTACAACGGATACTGAGCTGCGCTGGAGTCTACATAAGCGTAAAAACATGTACTTGTAAACTTGTGGTGAAATGTAGACTTCCGGGTTATTGTATTTTATTGTTTGTGAAATTACTGTCTAGGTAGAAGTACAAAGGCGTGTAACACTACAAGACATACTATACTGGGCGCAAACGATTTACACAAGCATGAATCCATTGTTCTCAGCCCCCAATACCGCCCTTACAGTACAGCCTGTCGCGCCATGTATCATGTATCATCACTCCAACTTGTAGTTGTTCTTTCTCAGAAACGCCTCCAACCCAGTCAATTCCCCCTTTACCTGCTCCTTCGCCCACTGAACCGCCTCCTTCTGCCCCTGGCCATAATACCCAAACTCTCTGTTCAGCACCCACATCTCATACAACTGCTCCCTGAAGCTCTCTGGGAAGAATCCCTTGACTACCTCATCTGGAAGTTGGACATGCTTAACCGTCTTCCCCGTCACCGTGCTTATGATCTCAGCGACCTCATCTGGCGTATACAAAGCCTCTGCTGCAGCGAAAAACTTGCCGGCGTACTTGTCTGGTTCAGCAAGGATAGCCCCAACCCATTTCCCGGTTTCGGTGATGTCGATATACGGTACAGGAGCATCCCCCGGGAGGATGTCCCCCAGCACGAACGTCCCATCATTCGCAGGAGAAGGATGGGGTTTCATCCTATCCTCCAGATTCTGCATAAAAGATGCTGGAGCAAAGAACGCGCTTTGCACAGGCAAACCGCGGATATACTCTTCTATTTCTGCCTTGTCGTCAAAGTGCTCCACGTTCTTCAACTTCCCATTGCTGATCTTGAACGGGTGCGACATGGAGCTGAAGATGATGTATTTGACGCCCTGCTTGATGGCTTCGCTGCATACGGCGCGTGCTTGGCGTGTTTCGACTTCGCGTGTGGAGCCGGTGTATTGCGTTGTGGTTATGAGGAAGACGTGTGTGCAGCCTGTTAGGGCAGAGGGGAGCGTCGTAGGGTCATCCATGTCGGCTACAGATAGCTCTGCGCCGAGGGACTGCAGGTCTTGCATTTTGGATGAGGTAATGGAACGCGAGAAGGCGCGGACGTTGTAAATGGCTGAGAGGGAGGGGTTGGTGAGGATGGCACGGGCGACAGAGTTGCCTTGGTTGCCTGTGGCACCAAAGATGGCGATTTTGGACTTGGACATCTTGGAGGTCTGGTGATTGGTGAGGCTGGGTAATGATGTCGTGGATAGATTCAAATGTCGTTGGAGAAGTGGTAAGACGGCGATAGTATGTTGGTAGATACAAACGTTCATGGACACCTACCTTATATACTTCTAAAACTGCTCCGGTATGTCAGACATTCTAATCTGGCTGCTTCTTGAACCAAGCCACGCCTGTGCGGCCATCGTAAAGATCACGGAACTAGTCGTCGGAGTTTACGCTGTAAAACCATCTGAAGTTTGGTGACACTGGGAGTCTTCAACAGGCAAAGGCTTGTTGAGCAGTACAATCGGGCCCGTGTATCGATCCAATAGCATCGCACGTTTACGACGTCCTAGATATAAGGCCGCCGACGCGAGTGTTGTTGATACTGGTGTCATGAAGATTGCGAACGGAGATGCTAAGTTCTCCGACTCGGATCTTCGGCGCCGAGCTAGCGCATTTCGCGCTCTTAACTCCACTAAACACCATGCCCAGACCTCCCAGCTTCGCCTTTCCACATCGCGCACTTTGCCATGAGCATCAGCGGGCATACTCCGTGCCTATGACGCAAATCCATCTTTCACTTTGGTTTGCTACCAGGTTCCGACGATGACCTGGCTGTGAAAACGTCCCACCGTCCTTCATTACGTCATGCGTCTTTGTTCAAACCTGCCCAAGTTGAGTGAAGGACATCCTTCACTTCACTATGATACGAATCTAACAGCGAATATGAACTCAGCCACTACAATGATGCAACATATTAACTCAATAGGTTCAGACAGATCCTCCTGGGCTGACTACGGGTCGCTAACGCAGCCGCAATGAATACGCATATCCCCAGTTATTCAACATATGCATTGGCGCGTCGGCAACAAGCGGAAGTCCATTCAGATCCTTCAGTTGTGTCCAAGTCTGGCTCTCGTCTGACACATCATGCCGGTCTGACCAACACGACTGGATTCATACCTTGTGCATAAGACAGGGCAACCTCTCCAACTTCACGGGAAGGATGTCGGCGATCGAATCCTACAGATCAGATTTCATCAAGATATTATTGTCCCTGCCAAGTGTTATCATGCAGTCCGTCTCAGTTTGTAAAAGGGGGTTGAGAAGGGATTACTCAGACAAGCATGGTCTCTAACACCTCAAGTCCTTCCTAGGCTGGACATTACGACTCGGCCTACGCGAACACCCCGAAACCTTGCAGACCACCAACAATCCAATAAAACCTCGTCGCCCCATTCTTCGGTTGTCGTCAAATGGGGTGTTATCCGCTGGTCTCCCTCGGGTTTGGCGACCGCTGCAGGTACGAGACTGTAAGGTAATCCCTTTGCATCGGCATCGTGGTTCATCACACTTCACTAACGCGAACTGGGCTCTCCCTTAGATTCTCAATATCATTCATAACAATGGCTATTCACCAAGTTGATAATGGTCGGCGTGGTTCTGTTGGCAGTTTGCGCGATTGTCACGACTCGATTGCGACACCGGAACGAAATCCACAATTCTACGTTCACCCTATTCCTTCTCCCGTCTATTTGATTTCAGCGCATACCTTACAGTCTCACCTTTCTTCCACGCTCACTGCGACTTCTCAACTAATTCTAGACCACCCCGACCGACTCCATTGAAGTTCCTGATTGCGAAACTTGCCTTGTGCAATCACATCATGAGTCGCCAGATCGTCGTTGCATCATGCTCGCTTGCTCAGTGGGCTCTGGATTGGGAGGGCAATTCTACCCGTATCAAGCAGAGTATCCGCGAAGCGAAAGCTAAGGGTGCTACATTACGAGCCGGACCAGAACTAGAAGTAAGTCATATTTTGTTGAACATGTCTCGCAAGGCTTCTTTCATACCCAGAATATGTCAACGGCAATCTCAACCTCCAACTTTTGCTGTTGAATCGGAGTCTCGTGTCTCAAAAGGCTACCTACATACTAGGTGTTGGGAACGTCTGCTGTACCATTGGTCCCGCTAACAAGAATAGATATGTGGTTATGGCTGTCATGATCACTTCTACGAGGACGAACTATACGCCAATTGCTGGGAAGCACTCACCGGCATCCTTACGGACGAGTGTTGTGACAATATGCTTGTGGACATTGGTATGCCAATCAAGCATCATAACTTCCGATACATCTGGTAAGTAAACTACTTCGTTGCTCCGGTAATCTACTTACAACCCATCAGTAGAGTGATGGCATACAACGGTAGAATTGTCTCAATACGTCCGAAAACAACATTGAGGATTGACGGCAATTATAACGAGTCGAGGTGGTTTACCGCCTGGGATCCCGCTATTCCACCCGAGGTATTCTCCCTACCAGACTTCATCGCGGACGTGCAGGGCACCAGCGTGGTGCCCTTCGGAAGTGCTCTACTCTCCACCCCCGGCGCGTGTATTGGCGCCATTACATCCGACGAGTTGATTGAGCTCGAGAACTTGCTTCCAACAGCCTTGAGCTCGACAAGCGTTGATATTCTGACGGTCTCTGCAGCCAACCACTTCGGTGTCGGAAACTTCGACTCCCTAGTGTCTTCACTGCAAAACATCAGCAAAGACATTGGAGGAGTCATCCTATACTCGAACCAGCATGGTTGCGACGGTGATCAAACCTACTACGACGGTGGCCCGATGATTTTGGTGAACGGAGAGATAGTTTCTCAGGGCCCAAGGTTCTCGGTTCACAATATCGAGGTGGTAACAGCAGTCGTTGATCTGGAAGAGGTACAATCGTATCGGGCGAAACAAGCAGTCTCGGAGCCCCTCGATGATCTCACTACACCCCGTATAGACGTGGCATGCAGTTTGTATCGTCCTGAGCTTGCCACCCTCCGCCCAGACCATCATCATCCTATCGCCCGGGGCCCAAGCTTTCACACTTTGGAAGAAGAGATTGCCATGGGGCCAGCATGTTATATCTGGGTAAGTTATACCCGTACGAACTGGACGCGAGACATATGCTGACTTTGTATCTTCAACTTTGTAGCATTACCTCCGCCGCAGCGAATGCGTCGGCTTTCTAGCGCCACTCAGCGGTGGCATCGACTCTTGCTCGACCTCAGTCATGGTCTTGAGTATGTGCTATCTGGTTTTCGACGCCCTTGAAGACGGAAACGAGGTCGCAGCAGATATCCAGCGCATCACAGGATCAAACGACTGGCTGCCCAAGACCCCTCAAGAGCTCTGCAACCGCATTCTGCACACAGTGTACATGGGCATGTCAGAATGCTCATCCGAAGAGACACGCTCACGAGCGCAGCGTCTCGCAGAAGGTATGGGCGCTCACCACATCAGCATGTGCATCGACACCGTCTACCGAACCGAACGAGACCTTCTGCCCCAGTACACAGGCTTCACTCCCGACTTCCGAGGCTCTCCAGCGGAGAACCTAGCACTCCAAAACCTACAAGCACGTATCCGCTCAACCACAGCATACTATCTCGCCCGCACCTTGCCCGTCATCCGCAATCAGCCCGGCGGAGGCGGCCTCCTCGTGCTGAGCTCCGTCAACGTCGAAGAGTCCCTCAGGGGCAACCTGACAAAGCACGATTGCAGTTCCGCAGACCTCAGCCCCATCGGAAGTATCTCCAAGATCCAACTTCGCTCTTTCATCCGCTGGGCGCGCACAGCCTTCACACTACCGATCCTAGACGAATTCCTCGACGCCATTCCCCGCGCTGAGCTCGAACCCGCTAGCTTCGGTTCATGCGACGACAAGGAAAACGGTATGACACACCAAGAGCTTTTCGTCTTCGCCAAGCTGCGCAGTGAAGAGCGACTGGGGCCCTTCGACATGTTCCAGCGTCTGCTGTGTGATTGGCAAGATAGGAAGAGTGCAAGGGAAGTCGGCGATCTGGTCAAACGGTTCTGGACTTTCTACGGAAGTAACAGGCATAAGATGGCCGCTGTGACGCCGGCAGTCCACGCAGCGGGTTACAGTCCTGATAACAGGTTTGATCAAAGGCCGATGTTGTATCCGCGGTTTGAACACAGTTGGGCGTTCAAGAGGATTGATGGGGTGGTTGATGAGCTGGAGCGTAGAGTCAAGATGGAAGAAGATGAGGAGATACGTTTTGGGGAAGTGGGCTTTGGAGAGGAACCGCGCGTAAAAGCGAGGCTGTAGACATGGGCTCAAGACGATGAGGGTTGATTAGATGAAGGGTCTTACATTATACTTAATCATGTTTATACACGGATTTGTTGTCCTACTCAACCCACCTCCCCCTCTCAACATCCAATTGTACACCCTCCTCTTTCAGCGCTCCCTCAAGCGCACCGTGCCCCTTCCACCCATGACCAATTCTTCCCGTACTGCTTAATCTTCCCAAATCCTTTCCGTTCTTCTCCCTGAAGTAGGCTTTCTGCTCTTCGGTCGGCCCTTTCTTCTTCCACTGCCCGGTCTTTTTATTAAACTGATATCCGTTGTACCAATCCTCGATCAGAGCATCCGATCCATATTCCTCTAGCAGCAGTTCCTCATACGCATATGGGACTTTCACGTTCACGCCTTCGAGTGTGGATTGTCGGAGGGGAAAGATTTGGGTGTTGAGATAGGCGTGGGTATCTTTGACGTACAGTAATGTTTCGTCGTCGAAGTCGTCAGGATCGGATTCGTGGGCTGAGGGATGGGTGCTGGAGTACGGAGAGTTGGCGATGGAATTCTGTTCCGAGGCGGGTGCGACGTGGAGTGTTGTGATGTCAATGTACAGGCCGTTGTTTACATCGATCCAGCGTATGTCGATGTGATTGTAGATGTCTGACGTGGATTTGTTGGTGTAGTTTGGGTTTACCTCTATGAGGTATTTCTTGCCCTGTTTCCTAATGTCTTCTTCCCAGGCCAGACGCTTCGAGCGCGTCTCTGCATCTTCGTTCTGATGCTCCAAGCCGTGCAGGATTCCTTTCTGCTTGACATCCCCCTCCTCGTTGTCCGGCACGAGTTCAAGCCCGAGTTCCCGAGCGTTGAACTGATGAATCGTCATGTTCCACCAAGTACCC